CAAATGTGAAGACATTTATCCTGACAGTCCGGTGGATGCTCGAAACGATATGTGCAGTGCAGATCCCCAAATCTGTGCGCCTCTCGCAGTTACTTAGTCAGCTAGTGGACCTTGTGAGCATTGGCACCAAACTAATGATATTGCAACTGAAAGATGATCCTTTCAGTCGTTTGCATTGTTGGTACCTTTTTGTGTGGCTTGTGGTGAGATGATCACCATAAGCTTATGAATTCATATATTATCCCCTATTCTATGGAACAGACTGAATGCGAAAATTTTAAGCCTGAATAAATGGAAACTCTATTTACAGTGTCCTACTTGCCCTAGTTAAATGTTAGCCTGTGTCCATATATGTCATATTCATAATGAAGATGTTCAATGTCATTGTGAAAAGAAGAGTGTTAACAAATCAACGACACAGAGTTCTTTCATATCGCAGATATTTGTTTCATGGACCACTATGGACCCTGTTTATTGGAGAATACTCTCCAAATTCAGTAGAGTTCTCCCATCTAGGTTATTTTGGTTACTTATCTATTTTTTATTGCTTAATAAAGTAACATGGAATGAATATTCCTTATGTGTAATCGTGTGTTACCTTCTATTTATCTTCTGTATTATTTTTCCTAGTCATTTGTTTCCATGCTGTGTGTCTTAATCATATGAGTCTCTAAAGTGCATATGATAGCTTAAAAGGGCTTGTCACTGTGATTCTCATTCGATTCCTCTTAAATGAACTCAAGATTTTATTTTTACTATTTAATATTTGGCTTGTTCTTTTCATGTCTGGTACGACTAATTTGAACCTTGCAAATCCTAATCTTGACTCATTTATTCGTCAATTGCCCTATTATTACTCTTTAACATATTTTGACATTTGATCTTTAGCCCCTGATTCTAGCCAAAAGTCAACAGTGAAAAGGATGAATGATACATAAATTATCTGGTATAGTACATAGCTGTACTCCCTGGAATCATCCCTGTACTGTGAGCTTCTGAAATTCTTAAATCATAACACTACTTGCAGGTGGGGGCTGCTAACCTGCTATGACTTGCTTAGTGCAGACCTTGCTTTGCTAAAAGAGTTCCACCATTCTTAGCTGTACGCCTGTATCCTATAAACAACACTGTTTTTTTGAAGTCTATAAGTGATATTGTAAGTATTATAACCATTAAAGATATAGCATTATGATGTTACAGTGTAAATAAAATTATACATGTTAAGAATTTTATTGTTTCTGTACTATACCTTGTGAATGTGTACAGAGGATATCAATACCGTGTTACTGAACTATCGGTTCGCAGGTCAAGTTTGGTGTCCTCTTCAACGATGATCGGTGTGCAAATATTTTTGAAGCACTAGTTGGCACCTTGAGGGCCGCCAAGAAGAGGAAGGTTTTGACCTATGACGGCGAGCTGCTTCTGCAAGGTGTTCATGACAATGTGGAGATAACCCTGTTGCCTCCTCCCGCTGTTGCTGCCGCTTAAAGCGCACAACACACCAAGTTCTCAATTCCATACAGTTCATATGCTTGTATTTTTCCGTGCCTAGATTTCTCACGAACCATTTGGTATTCCCAGAAGACTGCTGTTGTGTGATGTATGAAATTGTGGTGCTTAAGAAATCGCCTTGCTTAAGAAATTCAATGCTGGTATAACATTCACGTCATGAGACATGAAAGCAGCAAGTTGGAGGTATGGGGCCGTGGGTTATTGACAATCCTCCATACCGGATGATTTTTCTTCCCAAAAAGTTTCTTTGTAGTTCCATTATACTTTCCCTATTTTCCTTTTTTTTTCTATGGATCCTTATCGACGATTACTTCCCTCACCAGCACCTGTTGTCACCCTGATCAATACATCACCTACTTTAGCAATGACACATAGTACCAGCTGCATCTATTTTAATTTGATCATATCGTGTCTTATAAATGTCAAGTGCATATAAATAGGTGAAACAAACAGTGAGGAAGCAGATGGTGTGGAGAGTTACATAAAAACAGATTTGTTTCTTTGAGGAATGCGTCCACAACGTTGCCTGCCATGTGCAATTTTCTTTGTTTCTACTGGCATGAGGATGGGAGGCACAGGGAAAGATTAAGATATATGGAAACGTGAAACCCCACTCCCGATCTGAGCGTCCCCGGTTCCGCCCAGTTGCCGGCGCTGTCCCTAGCGCCGGCGAGGTCCGCTCTCGTTCCTTCTCACTTTAGGGCGCTCATGGCTCACCCTCCACCGCCATTGCAGCTTTAACCGTCTCCGGAGGCTCCTGCTGCCCTGTCGTGACCTCTCTTGCACTAACTCGTCAGCGGTGGTCAAGGCGATGCCGATGGTCGACCCCGGCCCGCCACTCCACCGCCGTCCGCCGCCCCTGCGGCGTCGCCGTCCAGTCGTCGCTCCCGCTACCTGCCTCTTGAGCTCCTCTAGGTCAGTAGAAGACACAGCTCAAAAGTTCAGTTGTGGGGAAGAAGAATTTCACCTCAATGACGACCCATATGCTTGCAAACATATTTGAAGCAATACTTGGCACCTTGGGAGAAAACCAGGAAGTGGAAAATTTTGATCTGTGATGGCCTCGACGCTGCTTCTGCAGGGTGTTCATGGCAATGTGGAGATACCCCTCTCGTGGTCTTGCCTCGGCTCCTCCTTCCTTCGGGTGCTGCCGCTTCAAGTGCATGCACGTCACACACTCACACCACGGGTCCCAATGCTTGTAACTTCTGGTGCCTAGGTCCCAGAAAACTGATGATAAGGTGTGATGTCTGCAAATGCGATATATGCTTAATTAAGAGCATATGGCTCGGTTGAAAATTTATTGCTGGTATAACATGCATGCCAGGCGATATGAAAGGAGCAGCTTGGGGTTGCTGTTAGAGTGTTAGTAACAACGTAGCGTTCTAGGTCATTTCCCCTGGAAAGTTTTAATTTTAGCAGTTTCATTCCTTGGAATCCTTTCCCACTCTCCATAATCAGGGCGTCCCCAGTGGTGTTCAAATCGCCAGCTCCGGTGAAATTCTATTCGCTGTAGAGGAGAAAGAGCAACGAGCTAGCGCGGTCACACTCTCCGGTCTTGCACCCACTCTGAACAAACTCCATCCCTCAGCTTCGATGTTCTGCACCTCCATTTTTTTTAATTCTTTTCAGCCTTCAACTTGACGGACGATTTTTGGTTATAATGGGACGCCCTTATAGTCTTTTGAGCCCTTTTACAATGGTTGAAAACGCTTCCCGGCGCTTCTGATGCTTACCCAAAATAACTATTTTTGTTGATTTTATTTGTCCAAGGGTATTATGGTCATTTCACAAAGCCAACTCACCACCCCCGCCGGCCCACCTCCCGAAACATAGCCACTTTTTGTTGCAACCATGATCCACTTTTTGTTGTAACCCTGATCAACAATTATACAATGGTTCTTTGGCCTGAAACATAGCCACTTTTTGTTGCAACCCTGATCAACGCTCATCTAACATTCCAAACTGATGGCTGGGCTTCGTTTCAAGCAAAGTTTGAGTCTGGGAGTCAAATTTCATTAGCTTCAATAATAAAAGGGCCTGGTCTCACTGGTGGAACCCCAGCTAAATCTGTTGTTGCTACAAGTTTTCACAGCTCTGAAGTTCAGTTTTCTGAGGACATTGCAGAGAGAAGACCGTGTGACTGGGTTCTCGCGTTTTCAAGAACTCCGGCCTGCTCTCCAATCCTAAAGTCAGCCCGCCGACATGCCCGTGATGATTGGACCCGACAAAGTAGTCAAACCTTCGATGACAGGCCATTTACGTGGCAGCTGTTCAGAGACTCCAAAGAGAGTTGTATAGTCGTTACGCCCTTCCTTAAACGGAGAGCTCGGCGCATGCAGCACAAAGACGATGCAAATAATAAATCACATTACCAATTACATTAAATCATCATAATAATTAGACATTCCAACAGAATGGGTCCTCGAAACATTATACTTTGTACAACATGTAACATACATGTACCAGCCATACAGAATGTCTCAGTATCTCACATCCATACAGAATGACACAATCGTCCATAAAACATACAGAATGCCACCAATTAGTAGTAGGCAGCTTCTGCTATAAAAATAGATCAAATCACCCATGCAGAAAATTTCAGCTATAGTTCCACCACACAGATGGGTTGCAATGAGCTCAACTGTACAGTGGGTGCATCTTCTAACCTACAAATAACTAAATAAGAAAACTGCACGTAAGCCATCATTGGTGTTTAATTAGTGTCCAGCAACAGACCAGCTTGTGAAACGAACAGAAGTTATGCAACTAGAAAAATATAATAAGTGAACGATTTTTCCACTCAAAAATAATAAGTGACAATCTTATATTAATATTGTAAGATGTTATTATATTTTCATAAACAAGAAAAAATAAATCTTATTACCTTATTCTAGACATATCCATGCACCTATAAGTTAAAACCAGTGGAAAAATTATGTAACTAGTTTTATTCTAGAAAAAATATAAACTGTCCTTACTGTGACATGGAAACAAAGAAAAGTAAGCATCTGCAGTAGCTATCTGTCTACCTATCTTGCTGCTCGAGACTATTCCTACCTTTAAATATGACTACCAACTATGTATTTATCCATAAAAGAGTAATAATGATAAATCATATGGAGTTGAAAGCCAAAGCTAATTTAAAGTGATCATTGCTTGCTATAACACATCAGGATTTATCCTAGAAAATTAGTACTTGTGGACCAGAAGCTTTTATAACAGGAGGATCTGAGCAGGTTGCTATAAAAAGTCACCAAACCTAATTTTGAACCAAAAGTTTGGATTTACTGAATTAAAGTAACAAATCAGATAAGTTACTGCAAAACAGCAACACTGATCAACACGAATAGATTAATAAAGTTCCAATATGTGAACAAAATTTGGGACGAATCAATTGTGCCATATTTGGTTTTTAAGCTATTTTAGTGTCCATTTTGTTTTGAGCCGAATTGAATCTTGCATAAGTACTTATACGTCATAAATTGTCACTGAAGATACCAAAAACGGGCTAAGTAACTAACACAACACACTTTGTCAGTAGTTACAGTTTCTTTCTTGGTCTGAAATCCAAACAGAGGAGGGACATAGACCCGGAACGGGAAGGCCATCTTGCCGAAGTAGAAATTCTTGGGGTTGTAGTGAACGAGCTCTGGATCAGGGACCCCTCCAGCCTGCATCAAAGTAGATAGTCAAATCCATATTAGAGTATTCAGCAGTAGGCAGAAGCGGAAACCAACAATTTATAGGCAAAATTCAGTTACCTTTGCGCACACCAGTGCAAGGCCATCTATGGTGATGTACTTGGCTCCCAAGATGTTGAAGATCAGCCGGCTCACCTTGTTATTGCTAGAACCTAGAGAGGAAAAACAAGCACAAGTTGTCGTTGACCGCCGTTCGCCAGATCGAGGACGAGCGGCCTCTTCCACGCCGCCCTTGGCCAGATCGAGGCCGAGAAGCCCCCTCCGCGCTGATCGAGGCCAGGCAGCCCACCTCCACGCCGCTCATGGCCGGATCCAGGCCGGGAGGGCCCCTCTGCGACGCCATTGACCGGATCGAGGTCGGGCAGCCACCTCCGTGACGCCCTTAGTACATCTCTAGGGGGCGTCCATATCGACAATGTACGCATGAGACAGTCGGTCTCCCGGACAACCTAAAACGACCTTTAATTTAAAAAAATCATTTATTTTCTTCTTTCACTCTAGTTTGCCTCCTGTGTCCTGTCCTGTTGTCTCCAGTAGTATAAACTCGAGTTCAGTTCTTGGCAGTTAAGCAGCATTACGCTATCCTGCCAGAAGCTTATTAATACACCACCTGCTCGACCATTATATACAGTTTCTCTCCCTTCATATCTTCTTCATATATAGTAGAAACCACCCAAACGCTGTGATACAGGAAAGAATGCAGATGATGAGCGGAGACCAAAGTTGAGCATGAGAAAACACATGCTTGTTTAGAGATACTCTCTACAGTTCACTGAAACAAGAATGGGAGGTATTGGGGAAATGGTTCCCAGGTTCAACCTGAAACCCCAATCAGCAATTGACATTGTCCCGAATGCCGGAGCCTACTTCGAGTCTTGACCGTAGGATGATGTAGCAAGCTGTTTGTGCCTTCCGGTCACAACCTGTGGCATCTGAAATGTACTCCGTGGGCTTGCTGCTAGACATCTCGAAGATCCTTACAGTATGTTTGGATCACTTGGACTAACAACTAGTAGTAGCTAAAAATTAGTCATAGTCCATCCAAAGATGCAGACTAATGGGTGGAGTAGTTGTTACCATCCTAGTAGTTGTTATCAACCTTGTAACAATACAATCAGGATGCATCACATTCAGTATAGTTACGAGAATGGTGTTGACTCAAACCAAAAATAGCGTAGGGGCCCTGATATGGAACCAACTCATCTACACAACCAATATATTGGCCCTGAATCCCTGATTTGGTTGCTGGGAGGTGGTCACTACATTGATCTTAGATTGTCTCTACTCCTCGCTATTTCTTAAATGCAATTTGGTGGTGTTCAATATTGATCGATGATGTTGTAAAGGGAAATTATTTATGGTTCTGTGCAAAGGCCTTCCAAATAGTGCATAGAAAAGGCTAGTCGGCTTGTTCTGTGGTGAAAAATGTAACCAAGATCACGCTTATGCGCTCAGGCAGTTTGAAATCGGATGATACGTCACACACAAGGTTAGTCACTACAAATTGAAGTACGTGAAGTAGACAAGCACCCACAGGACAAGCCCAAGGACTAAATGTGTAAATGACCATACATGCCCAGTACAAAGTGTGATGAACAAAGATTCTGACATGATATTATTTAGGTCTACTTAATAAGCAGCTCTTCAAAAACCATTTATAATATTAAATGGTTTTTCCAGGCAACTTAAATCATCAGCAGACAGCAGTTATGTGTGGTAGCATAAGCAAGCAACATATCTCTAATAATGTAGACTGAGGGGCCTACTCTCCTTCGACGAGGCTGAACCGGGAACCTCTATTTACTATATCTGAAAAAAAAACTTATGAGCAGTTAAGCAACGTTGTACTGGTGCCCATCTAGTAATTAATCTAATATGTTGTCCATCTAGCCGTGATGCTGATATATATATATATATATATATATATATATATATATATATATATATATATATATATATATATATATATATATATATATATACCAACAATGCAAACATCACAGAGGAAAGGAAAGAAACCAGAAGAAGAGCTGAGCTTGAGAGCAATGAGTTGAGAACATGGAAAAGCAAGAGAGGCAGCATGCGCTTTATTGTAAAGAAAGAGGCCGCCACAACAATTTAGCTTGTATATTTAAGGGTGGGAGGCATTAGGAAAATGGTTCTTTGCTATCATGGGAGATGTCGTGCCGGCTCAGTACATCATGGCTCAAAGCCCGAGGCAGTGCTTTTCAATGGAGGCAACGATGGTGAAAATGATTGTCTGTTCATATCTAAACATAAGGCCAGTTCTTGTTTCTAAAACTAGCTGAAAAAGATGATCAAACGAGAAATCTGGCTATTGATTGTGCTAACATATTCATATTTGTAAGCAGAAATATTTATATCTTCAAATTGATTTCTAAATTATCATAAACCATTAGACCTTGATATATGACATGAGGTACCCATTCATCTTCCAAAGACAAGTTGCCATTGGTAACCGTATTTGATTATCGCTTTGTCTTGGTTTTTGAATAGCATGTCGTTCTTGCTTCGAACAACTTGACTACTGTAAATGCTAGTTAACTAGAGGGGAAGTTCAAGCGGTGTTTTAAATAACAGGCTATAGCATTTAGCGAAGAACTCTGATCAGCCGCCATAGCCTGCTACATTTAGTACAGCTTTGTTGTGGTGGCACCTGGCTTTAGCTGCTATAGTGCCGCTATAGCTTTCTCATTACCTGTTATTTAAAACATTGAGTTGAAACGATAAAAGAGTATCATTTTGCTAGAACAGTGAAAATATTTATAATTAAGTATGCTTTTATTTAGCAATATTAGGTCCCACTGTTATTATTGTGTATGCATCTTTGTTTTTTTATCTAGCAAAATATTTGGTCCCATAGGTATTATTGCTAGAACAGTGAACAATATAATTAACTATTCTTGTTTCCACATACTGAAGGTTTATTGTGTACCTGGTGAAATCATTTGGCGAGCCTGTTCACTGACTACATATGGTATTTGTCAAGACTGCACAGAGATGCAATGCTTGCTCTTCGTATTTCCAGCGCGGATCAACCACTCTAATGGCTTGATCGCTTTCTGTAGTTACATTACATGTCTGTCATGGCAGAGTTTGCGTGAAAACTAATTGGGACTCAAGTAACCATTCTTAACGGTGTGCGTACGAAGATCTATATATGAAGTTCGGATGCACGCTTTACGTACATACATGAGGGGCATTAGGATGCACGCTATGTGTGACATGAATAGGGTGGTGTTAGTGACTAAAAATTAGAAAGTGTGTCGAGAGGATGTTGCATAAAGTGTTTGGATACTAATAAAAAAATAAATTACATAATCCACCAGTACTCCACGAGATGAATTTTTAAGCCTAATTATTCCGTCATTAGCACATGTTACTGTAGCACCACATTGTCAAATCATGAACTTATTAGATTTAAAGGATTCGTCTCGTAAATTAGTCGTAAACTATGTAATTAGTTTCGTAATTAGTCTATATTTAATATTCCATGTGTGTGTCAAACATTCAATAAGACCGTAACTAAAATTTAGGAGGGACAACCAAACACCACCTAGATGGTGACCTACTAACCTAAACTCTGGGATCCAAAATGTTCCGCCTCAAAGCACAGGGCCGGGTCTCAATATTTGTTTTTTTAGTAATCTGGAGGGGCTTGCTTTAATATGTTCACTGTAGGGAGCACAGGGCTTGCTTTAATATTTCTTGTTACAAGCAGTTAATCCATAGACTAAGGGAGTGTTTGTTTCAGCTTTTCTAAGTCTCGCTTATAAGTTGAGCGGGCTTATCTAATAAGCCACGATATAGAGAATCTCTGTCTGAATATGCTGGACGTTTCGCTGTCCTAATTATTTCTGGTAGATTATCTATCATGTATACCCCTGTACAGTAATAGTCCAAAATAACGTCAATTTGGGTACACCGGTACGCCTTCATTTACTCTCTCTCTCTCTTGACTAGTGGCAAGGAAGCAAGGAAATAGACATGGAGGCAGAGAGGGAACATGGACGGGAGGTGCAGGTGCTCGTGTTCGTCAGCTCGGCCACCATGGACAGCTCGACGAGCTGCGTGAGACAGCGATTTCGGCCACCATTTCCAAATCCAAGAGCATGGGGAGGGAGAGGAGAGGTAGGGGATTCACGTGGGCTAGCTACCTCGGCCGATTTTTTTGGGAAGGATCTTCGACGACTTCAAATGAAAAAAGAAGATGAGTGAGGAGTTGGTAGATCTATGAGCGAGATCTATAATTTGAGGTCATCCATGGCGGGATTGACCTCATTTAATTTGCGTGGACCTCGTCGGATGATTTTTCTCCTCTATATTAATCATATCAAATCATATTTTTTGACGGCATTAAATGGCAAATAATACCACCACCACAACTCGACGCCAACACAAGACGCATCACCACCACCGCATGTGGGCCGAGTGGTGGCCGACGGGAAGCTCGTCCGGATGTGGCGCGGAGTTCGGAAGGAGCTAGTGGTGGCCGACGACCGCTTGGTCCATGTGGCATTTTCTGGCGGAGCTTCACAGGTGGCCTCCGCCGCTGGGATCATGGAGCCTTCGCGTCGTCGTCCTCCGCAGCGTCTCTATCGTTGTGAGCGTGGATGAGCGGCAGCGTTAGCGTGGAGGAGCCGGGAGGGAGGAGGAGCGGCAACGACCGGGAGGTGACGAGATGCGAGATGGGGAGGCCGCGGCCGGGCTGGAGAGAGGCGGCGGCGGGGATGAAGGAGGCGGACGAGAGAGAGCGAGCGAGAGAGAGAGAGAGAGAGAGAGAGAGAGAGAGAGAGAGAGAGAGAGAGAGAGAGAGAGAGAGAGGAGCAGGATTGGCATCGGAGAGAAACACGGTCGCGATTTTGGAACGAGGTCTAGCTCATGATTTCAGAGAGCGCTATGAGTGGCACCGATCGCGAAGCGCTGCTCGCGATCAGGCCCAGATCGCAGGGCGTTTATGCGGGATTATTTGCTTATTTGGCTCAGAAGCTGAGCAAACGCTGCCCCAAACAGGGTCTAAATGCATGTTTTTTCATTTCAAGATATTTCTCGTGCTTAGCCTATGCTTGATGAGCAATCAGAAAAAGACCTCGTGCTTTGACTGACAAACACAATCCCATAGCCACCGGTAAGACTCATGTATCTATGAGTGACCTATCAGGACCTTGTAAGCGGTTGATGGCACAAAATTGGAGCCCCAGATGTACTTCTAGGTGTCACTGTCATTACTCAGCTGTAATTCTTCCACTTTCTGTAAAATGATTTTTTTTTGGCGCAAGTTCTGTAAAATGAATTGCCGCTGTGTGAAAGTTATTTCAGAGACCGGCAGATGAAGAATCTGACTGATATCATCTTGGTTTCAGACCTTTTCAACAGAGACATACTTTTCTTTTCTTTTTTTTTTCTTTTTTTGCAAAGGAGAACAACTCTGGTGAGCTGATTCTTAGTATTTGGTTACTCCAGCTATCTTGCAAGAACATACAGGTTTTCCCATTTCTTTACTTCCACAATTCGAAATACCAGTATTACCATTTTGAGATCCATTTTATAAGCAGGCACTGATCTTCAATATTCGAATTCAATTGTGCCTCACCAATCCTCAATAAATAAACTAGAAAAAAGCAGGACCCTGTGCAAATAAATATGATTAATAGCGATGAGTAAATATGACAACATGCACTCACCCCTTTTTAGCTGTCATCCCCGTTCAACTTCAATACATGTGTGTACCTGGCTCTTCACCCTTCACCTTTTCATATGTTGACACAAGCTTCCTTATATATTCGTCCAAATGGTGAAAAAAGGAAGGGGCAAGAGGGGACAAATACCAAGCCACAAGAGTTCTTTTTGTGTTCCTGTGAGAGTAGCATCCAAGGCCCAGTTTAGATGCAAATTTTTTTGCAAAATGAGTACTGTAGTATTTTCGTTGTTATTTAGCAATTAATGTCTAATCATAGTCTAATTATGCTTAAAAGATTCGTCTCGTGGATTTCGTCTAAACTGTGTAATTAGTTTTATTTTTTATTTATATTTAATGCTTCATGCATGCGTCTAAAGATTCGATGTGACGAGGAATCTTGAAAAATTTGGCAAAATAAAGTGGAACTAAACAGGGCCCAAGAGAGCTTCGGTAAGATTTTGATCCCCACCAATTCCTGTGTCATATCATACAGGTTGTATGTATTTCGAGAATGGGAAGCATGGGGAAAAGGGTATACCATGGGCCTCACTGAGTCGGTAAGCAACAATTGCCTGAATCGCAATCTTCCTTATGGAAAATTAGTGCTGCTTCGTTAGCTTCAGACAAGTATGACTGAAGTAACAAACGATAGTCGAGTGTCCCAGATATCCTGCTTTGTCTAGTTACTTACACATTCTTCTTTCCAGGGACGAGTGGTGAGGTTTGTGCCACTCTCAGTTTGGTATGCACTATTCAAGGCAGCTAAAAATGGGCAGTTCTGCTCGTTCCGAGTGCTGATGGCTGACGGGCTGAAATGGCATGCAAGGAGAGTGGACATTGGTGTTGTGCTCGATCGTGAGATAACCGCGCGATACACTGGCACCAGAAACATAAATCTGACAAGAGGCCGACTCAATTGCTTCCGAAACTGCTCCGGGTGAAGTATATGGCACGGAAGGACGGTGTGGACTTAATATAATATTATTTTTTCTAAACTCTTTAGTTTGCTCTATTTGTCTTACACGATGTGCTTCTTATTTTTAAGGCAATTAGTTTCATTAACAATCTGTATAATTAATGAAAGATAAATGGCAGGTGATGAATCTGTAGTATTTACGTTATGTTGTCATGTTTAGTCACATCCTTGAACTCTCTTGAAGCAATTATTGTGTACTTCAGGGCAAAGCCTTTGGCCTGAATTATCTGCGTTCCTCATTGATACGTACCGCCAGTGGCGGATCTGCCGGGGGGGCTGCCGGGGCTCAAGCCCCCCCCTACCCTGGCCGCGCCATTGGAGCCCCCCTCAGCCCCTCCATAAAAATTTCAGCCATTAATCACTAGGAAGGAGGAGCCGGAGACGTTTCCGTCGCTGCCTCGCTGGTGACAGAGGTTGAAGACGAGTGGTGGATGGAGTTGTCTGCTTCCTGGGCCGGAATGTGTATGTTTTACTTTCAGTTTCATTGGCCCAGTTCACAGCCCATCAAGAAGACCGGTCACGGCCTCACGGGACCAGCGGAGTCGCACTTCGCACTCGACTCGAGCAACTGGGCGAGCGGCGGCGGCTCCAGCTAGGGTGGCTCCAGCTCCAAGTCTCTGAACCCAACGGCCGACGGAGGCGCCGGGATCCCCTTAGGCAGCAGGCAGTGCTGCTTCGCCCGCTGCAGACAAGATCTTCAAGTAACAAACGGCTCTCCGTCCGACTGTCCGAGGACTACCTGACGTGACGCTCTTCACTTTGCAGCATTCTTCTACCGGCGCAAGATCGTCGAGACGTTCAAGGACTTTACCCCACGGTCCTGGCGCTCCTGGACATGCTGCTCGCCATCGAGCCGTCGGCACGGGGCACGGTGGCCTCTGCTCTGGACAGCGAGGTAATTAAGCAACTCTCGTCAGTTTTTCATTAGAACAACAAACACGCCATGGAAACTGTCAGCACTGAAACATTGCTGCATTGTATTGCATCTCTGTCATCAGTGGACTGTCTGTCATCGTCAGTTCTTCAAGACCAAACAGCAGGGCAGAGGCCAGCAGGTATACTCTTTTTCTTTAGATTTGCCTTTTGAACTTTGTAATCGTTCAAAATTTGATTAGGATATAATAAATTGCAGATTATTTAAAATGTCCAAAAGAACATTGCACACATATTTTTCTGGTATAAGTAGTACATCAACTCCAGGCACTAATGACAACATAAATCAACCAATTCGGAAGGACGGAGTGGAGTTAATATAATGTAATTGGTGATCTAAAAATCTTACCAATTGAAGAATATCCGTCTTAGAAACTAGAGACCAAGTTTTAGGGCATATTTTGAGATTCATTAACAACCTGTATATCTTAATGAAAAGATAAATGGCAAAATGGTCAATGGAGATCATAGTTATCATGTAAAATATTTAAAACTGTTATATCTTATATTTGTATGGGATATAATTGAGTGAAGTTGGTCTAGCTCTTTTTGGCCCAGCCCCTCCTAAATATTTTTTCTAGATCCGCCACTGCGTACCGCCATGTATTGTTCCAGCGGATCCTCTCTTATAACTATATACTAGGTTAATTTGTTTCACTTTCTCATAGTCCGCTTTCGACATTATCCCAATTTCAAAAAAAAAGGCTGATTTCATTTAACACTTGCTCTCTCTGTTCCAAATTATAGATTAGTTTGGCTTTATCCAAGTCAAACTTTTCCTAATTTGACAGGGAATTTTATAAAACTAATTTGATATTGTACATATTGATGAATTTTTTACAATCTTGATGAAGGTTAGAGAAATATACTTAGGCAAAAATTAAAACAAACTATAATTTAATGGGAAGGGTACGGCTAACAAATCAACAAGGAAGCCTAAATGGTACAATTCTTCCAAACACTAACAATCAACCAAACAGAGCAAGCTTTGATAGTGCAACAAGCAGATTTATATTTATGCTTTGATAGTGCATTCATTTGGTATTATAATCTCCCAATCCTAATCCACCCCTCCTTCTGGCATAATCCACAAATGTAGGCACTTCTGGCATAATCCACCCCTCCTTCTCCATTATCATTAATTTAGTATCATTGGCGCTTACCATTTAATTAGTGCATGTCAATGTAATCTTGATGCTTAAAATTTTAGTTAGCTCCTGCCATTTGTGGCATCGGTAGAAATTGCATTTATAATATCATGGTGATTAATTGTGGGGCATCATAACCATTTCTCTTTCTCCTCAAATCTGTCCTACTCTTAAAAATACTTAAATTTATGGAGAGACGGAGTAGATGTTAGTAAATTATAAAATCAATCAAAATTAAAGACTGGTTTATTACTGACACGTTCACTACCTCTTCTCATTTAAGCAACTTTACACCACTCTTGCTAGTACCATCAATTCAATACATTGTACATGGTGGCATGCCTCTTTTCCTTCTCTCTATAAAAACTGATGCCATCTTCCTTATTTAAACATCCACCAACAAATTGAGAAACATGAAGAGGGAATAGAGGACAAAACGCAAGCAACAAGAGTTCATCTGTATTTTTGGGTCAGCGGTCTGCCACACTAAAAAAAGCCTTCGTGCCATTTTCATCTTCTCTGTTCTTGATGCTTTGTGAGAATACGAAGCATTGGGAAAAGAACATGCACTCCAGCAGCGATTCGAGGTAAGCACTAAACATTTTGATTCTGCTACCTCTAATTTTCTTAAAGAAAATAGACCGGAACTATTTTCATTATTTATTAAAAAAAAAGTATCCACGCGGTGAAACGAGATAAGGCAGAACCATGTCTGACAGTATCCTTATTATCTGCCTAGTTACTTAAACATTCTTCTTTTTACTGCTACTTAGCCATGTGAGATGGATTTTGCCGTAAACGTATCTTCCGAAGCACCACTCCATGGATCTGAACTAGAGCCAAAATGTCTCTGCATTCGCTGTTTGGCGCTGAATGTTGTGCCAGGTGACGACCATGGCGCCACACAAATGGACACAGCTGCAAGCAGATTTAGACCCTTGGGTCCTTGGCCGCGCTCGACAGATCAACTCGGTCAGTGGCAGCACCCACAGCTTTAAAATAGAATAAATGACAATGCCTATAATTAATACTAGGTGTGTATGTTTTATTCTTCTATTAAAAATTGATCAGAGATTGACTCAAACATAAACGGATGAATATTTTGTGAACCTGATGTAAAGTTGAAAAAGGTAGAAGGTGATCTGCCCTAAGCTGTGCTGTGTGGCGCCCAAACATGATTTGGTGCAAAACTAGAACATGGATAGTTATGTTCATTGATTACAGTACAGGAGGAGAATATTATGATGTGAACATAAAGGGAGAGATGTTGAGCAGTTTTGTAGGCTTCTTGTTTGGAGTCAAGATGTGACACAAGATTTATATATTTTTTAAGTAAATAGTACAAATGCAGACGTCCCACGTAACCAGTACGAGGAAGACGCAACGCCCGTCTGATCGATCTTGACAACACTACCATCCTCTAGACATGACCAAGCAACCGGGGTCAATCGTCATGCAGACTGATGAATTAAAGAGACCCCCAACTGCAACACCCGTCAAAAAGGACACCGCCTAGACAACCAGCGAGATCAGTGACACACGAGGCAACTAATCAGATGAATCTTTGCTGAGTATGACGACATCGCCAAGGGAAGATGAACCAAGAAAACACAAAACAAGCATAAGAAGCAACTGCTCTCACACATAGTTTATTCACAATATCTTGTAACTCGCACCTCTACCCAAACTTTGAGCGCATGGGCACAACAATAGAACTCTACTTTCCACACTAGACATAGAGCTCGATCACTCGAACTAGTATAATGAACACAATAATAGAACTCTACATTCCACAATAGACACAGGGCTCAGTCACTCGAACTAGTATAAACTTTAGTTTCTCGTGTGCTACCCCATCGAAACATTTTGCCATTTTGCATGACATAAATTTTACTTGACGGTGGTACAAAACACCGACACTACCATTTTGAGATTTTTTTTATAAGTAGGCACTGATTTTCAATATCCTAATTCAATGGTGCCTCACCAATCCACAATAAAGTAGGGAAAAAGCAGGACACTATGCAAAAAAAATATGGTTAATAGGGCATAGTGTCGTGCTCATCTAGTTTTCCCTAGACATATTCACCAACTCTTCTCAATCAGTAAATATGACAACATGCACCTCACCTCTTTTTCTGTGGCCGTCTCCATTCAATTTCACCTTTTCATATATATGTTGACACCGGCTTTCTTTCATATTCGTCCAAATGGTGAAAAGTAAGAGACAAATGTCAAGCCACAAGGGTTCTTTTTGTGCTTCTGTGAGAGAAATAGCATCGAAGTGAGCTTTGTCATATTTTGATCCCCCAATTTTTCCTGTATGCATTTCGAAAATGGGAAGCATGAGGAATCTGGCTAAGAGAGGATGTCCATATCAAACTTTTTGTGCACTCTACCGTGGTGTCACATCCGGTCCAGCTTGAAATTTGGCCCATAGTAGCCCATGTGCATGTTAATAAGATATCGTGAGGGGTTTAGTCCTACCTTGGTTATTAAAGGTGGGTTAGACCAACATATAAGGGTTCTAGAGTTCATCCTACCATCCCCGAGTTAATTCTTTTACGCGAAGCGAGGACGAAAACGTAAGTGAGATAGTGATAGGTGTGGTTCGCTCTCCGATAGAGTGAATCGGAGCCGACCTTTGCGGCCATGGGCACGTGCGGGTCAGGGGCGTGGTCATGGGGTTCATTGCGCGTGTAGGCCTTACGGGACGCGAAGCGAGGATGAAAGCGTAAGTGGGGGATGGGTGGTAAGTGTCAGCTCCAATCATTTCCTTTTATAAGAAAGGAAAAAGGGTATGCGAACCATTATAATCCTATGTGTCTCATGTGTTAACCATCGAAACGCCGTGCGCGACACAAGATTTTTATTGCCATTTTTGAGATATTTATATAAGCAAACAGTGATCTTCAATATTTGAATTCAAATTGTGCCTCACCAATCCTCAATAAAATAGGAAAAAAGCGGGACACGAGCAAATAAATTGGTTAATAGGGATGAGTGAGTAAATATGACAACATCCACTCACCTTTTTCCGCTGTCATCCTCGTTCAATACATGTATCTGACTCTTCTCCCTTGAGTTTTTCATATGTTGACACCTGCTGCTTCCTTATATATTCGTCCAAATGGTGAAGAGGAAGGGGCAAGAGGGGACAGATGTCAAGCCACGAGTTCTTTTTGTGTTCCTGTCAGAGAGTAGCATCGAAGAGAGCTTGGTCCCATGCATTTTGATCCCCACCATTTCGGCATTTCCTGTATGCATTTCGAGAATGGGAAGCATAGGGAAATGGGCCTCACTGAGTGGGTAAGCAGCAATTTGCTGAATCACTACCTTCCATGTGGAAAATTAGGACTGCGTTAGCTTCAGACATGCATGACTGAAGTAACAAATGATAGTCGAGTGTCCCAAATATCCATATCTTGCTTTATCAAGTTCTTTGGTGTGGCACTTTCAGTCTTGCATCCACTATTCAAGGTAGCTAAAAATGGGTTCGCTGTCGTTGCGCACGATCTTGCCACGGCCAACTAAAGTCCTCGTTCTACTATGAAAGAGGGGAGTTCATCATAGATAATCTTTCCAGAGAGGGGTAATATCAGAGATATTATCACTGGAGTCGTGTTTCATTCCAACCGTAGCGTTGACAAAGAGGTAGGAGAAGCACAGCAAAATTTGTAGAGAATTTTTCTAGGAGACTTGTGTTTTTGAGTTTTGCTATAAGGATCCGGAACGCCAAGACCACCTTTACTTTTGCGGAGATAAACATCTTCCAAGTAACTTTGCATTGCCCTCCTTTACAACTATTTTTCACCTTTACAACGAAGTTCACCACCTGTTATAGCAAGTTTGCAACCGATGACATTAAGTCATACAGTATGTATGTTCAACAGGAAAGGTCTTCTGTTCGTGGTGTGGTGTCGATGAAGGCTCAACGGGACACATGGTACAGACGTACGTACAGAACAAGAAATTGGTGGTAAATAAGAAATATTATTATAGGCAATGCTTTTACAACATCCATCAGATCCGTGAAACCTGCAAGATGCAAGGCTTTCATCAGTTTGAAGTTTCTTTTCTACAGTTTTGATGCATATTTCTTTAGAGCATCTCCTGCCCTGGTTGATGAACTGTTCCGGCAAGGGCAGGTTAGGTCAGAAAAAACCGCCTGACTCTGGATTCAGAGATCTCCTGCCCTCTTGTTCCTCCGGCAATGGCAGGTTAGACAGCAGCCTGACTCTGGATTCAGCGATCTGAGGCCCCTTCTCTCATGTGGATCCATCTTCCAGAGCTTTACCTCCCAAAAGATATCGGAGCCCTGGAGCTTCCATAAATATTTAGGTAAAGTTCTATCGTGTGGGTGAAGCTGAGACTTAGGATCGAGCGGTATCGAAGATACGGTATTCGACCCTTCTAAATTTTTTTCTGGATCCGCTGCTGGTTTGGCCCCTTTGCACTCTCGCCTCTGGGCCTCGGTTCGGTATCTGTCTGACCGACGATCAGGAGATTGGGATCGGCAGGTGAGTCGTTTTGCATTAATGCTCGGTTCCTCACTAGTACCTCCGGAGGCCGCAGCCTGCACCAACGCCAACCCCGGGTGCTGACCATGTGGGCTCCTGATCGACAGTGACTAGCCAAACCTGTGAGCCCATGGGTCGGGGCCTTTATACAAACCAGCCCGCGACATCAATTAGACGGTAGGGCTCACTGAAGCCTGCAAATCCCTTTAGGCCTAGGTGGAGCCCCCTGAAGCCTGCAAATCACTTTAGGCCTAGGTGGCTCCGTGGGTACAGGGAGCTAACTTAACTGGGCCAGTTTTACTCAGGTATAGAGGCTGAGATAGGCCCAAATTGCGTTCGTGCGCGCCCCCAGCACAAGCCGGAGCATCTGCTCGAGAGAAATTTCAATGACATCCAGTACGTCTGCCTCACAAGCTTGACATTCGATTCGTCGGCCTTTCAAAAAAAAATTCTCGAATACGCAAAAAAAACTTTGCATATCATTGTATTAGGTATAAAAATTTAGACAAACATATAACCTTCGCTTGACATAATATACTTAGATCAATCTAACACGCCAGAGCAGACCGCCCTGCAATCCTCAAATATCGATATTACATTAAAGGAAAACTGCAATACAACACAACAAGATCGACCTAGGAGGTGGCCTTGCATCTTCGCTTATTGCTGAACGACAAACCGGGGAAGACCTCGTCAGCGCTTGACCTCGGGACGCGCGCGAGATCGCCGCCAAAGAGCTTCTCAAAGGCCTCCATCGATCCATGCATATGCATTTTTGGTCATAAACGATCGTACACCAAACCAAAGAAGAAAATAATCCACGCGATCCGTTTCTTCACGGCCTCCGAAAAAATGATGGCGCAGCTGATGGACTCTATACATATACATACGCTGCATGATCAGCACCTTACCTCGCTTAGAAGCAAATCTAACATTGAGACTATAAATTGTTTCGATTCAAAGGATTTTAGCCATTTTCTCTCTTTCCTTCTCGTGTAATATTTTCACCTCCCCCAGCTACCCTGAAAGGACCAAGCTACCCCTGGCCTAATAGAACAGATCGATTCCCTTGTGCTTCTTCGTGCTAGTTTCCGTCGCGACTGTGAGTTTGGGAGGCTGCCACGCTGGCCTCCTCACGAACCGTTCCAGCCTTGCAACATCCAAGAGGCCACGAGTCATGAAGAGCCCTGCCGTTCCGGCCAAGAGGCGCCACGGCGGCAGTGGTGGCGGCGCGGAGTTCGCGCTTGGGTGCGGCCGCAAGGAGGACAAGAGCGTGTCGGTGTCTGTGTCAGCGTCCGCGTCTCCGTTCGTGACGACAGGGACGCGCCGCACGGCCGCAGGAGCGCTGGGCTGAACCCGTGGGCGTCGACGACGACGGACACCCTGACTACCCTGACGTCCGCGTCGTCTTCGTCGTCCTCGCTTTGGGAAGACGTCGTGCCGGAGCTGGGCCACAAGGACAGCGGCTGCCAGGTGCTGCCGGAGAGCTCCGTCGCCACGCCGAGCTTCTGCGGCCTGCTGCGCGAGCTCAGCGAGCTAGAGCGGAGCATCGCGTCGTGGGGCGCGCGGAAGGGACACCACCGCGAGGACAAGCTCTGGCTGGAGCCTGGCTGCTGCCGCTTCACAGTAGGCTGTCGGGAGGCGCAGGGTGCCCAAGGACGGGAGAGGGGAAGGCGGCGGAGGGGCTCCCCGGCAGTGGCGGCAGAGGGGGCACCCCGGCATCGGCCACTGGAGGGCGGCGCCGTGCCTTCGTCCTGGGGCCCAGTAGAGGGTGGTCGGGGAGGGGATGGGGGAGGGCGGCGGAGGGCGGAGGGAGCCCCCGGCGGCGGAGGGCCGGCGGACGGGCGGTCGCTCGTCCGTCTCGCGCGTCCGTGCTCGTCTGAGTCGCGACACAAGCTTCTCGCGAAGGGAATCAGTATGTTCCTGAGGGGCAGTTTAGTCCTTTTAGGTGGCTGAGAGAGGTGAAAAGATTACTGGATAAGAGAAAATGAGAAAAAATGTCTGAAATCCCTTGATTTGAAGCAATTCGCAGTCTTAGTGTCAAATTTTGAAAGGAATTGAGTGTCAAATCTTTTACGAAAGCTCCGTCGCCACGTGTTTTAGCTTAAAAAACACATGCGCGAGCTCATGACATCTAGGGCCCATCATGTAAATGCAAAGCGGAAGGGACACCACCGCGAAAAACAAAACAACTCTGGCTGGAGCCTTTCCCCTTCTGCCACTCAACAGTTTGTTTTGTCTCCTTCGGAGGCGCAGGGTGCTCAAGGACGGGAGATGGGAAGGCGGCGGAGGGGCGGAGGGGCTCCTCGGCGGTGGCGGCAGAAGCCTCGTCACCCCGGCATCAACCCGCCGTCGACATGGAGGGAAGATCGACGTTGCCTTCGATTGGGGCCCAGTAGAGGGCCTCGATTCGGGAGGGGATGGGGGAGGGCGGCGGAGGGCCGGCGGACGGGCGGTCGCGCGTCCGTGCTCGTCTGAGTCGCGACAGCGAGCTTCTCGCTCGAATTGGTCTCTGGAGTATGTTCAGGGGATCCGCCTAGTCCTTTCTCGGTGGCTGAGAGATGAAAAAATTGTTTCTGGATAATACGTAGATCTGTGATTTGTGATTGTCTGAAATCCTTGAAGGTGAAGCAATAGAAATCGTAGTCTCAGCGTAAATTCATTGTTTGAAAACACGTGGTTGTGAGTGTCAAATCATCTTCTAAGGTAGACCTCGGCGCCGCGCAGCCAATTTCAAATCCTGCAAACATGGAGGGCCGGTGAAAACGGAACGGAGCCCGCCGTCTAGATCCGATCCACCTCCGCCTCCTGCGGCCGCGCCGCACCACCTCATCCGTCCTCACTCCCCATCCCAGGTAAATCCCCCCAAATTTCAAATCCTCCTCGTTCCCCCTCCACTCCACGCTAGGGTTTCGCCATCCCCATTACTCACTGCCAGCAGAACCGAACCTTGGATCGACACCGCAATTGCTCGCTCCCTCCATGCCGATCCCCTAGCCTCCTGACCCCTCCATGTCCCGTTCATTCTTCCCGACCTGCTCCTCCCAGAAAGGTGCCCGCCGCCCACCTCTGCAGCGCGATTTCGTTAATTTGCTTGGGTCTTGTGTTGACGTTTTCCTCTGATTTTGTTTCGGCAGCGGAAATGGAGGAGATGAGCAAGGAGCTGGACGACCTGCGGGCCGAGGTGGAGGCGCTCACCGCCCAGCTCCGCGCCAAGTCCGACCTCGCCGACGGCCTCAAGCGCGCGGGCGCGGACCAGGCCGCGCGGCTGCGGGATGCCCGGGCGGAGGCGGAGCAGAATTCGGCGGAGGCCGCGGCCAGGGCCGAGGAGGCCGCCGCCGCCGGGGATCGGTGTGGGGTGCTGGAGTCCAGGCTGGCCGAGAAGGAGCAGGCGCTGAGGCACCTCTGCGCGGCGCACGAGGCGCTCAAGGGCACGCTCCGGGAGAAGATCGAGGGCCTCGAGGGCGACAAGAGGGGCCTCCTCGCGGCGCTCGAGGACGCTGAGGCGAGGCGTGGGGAGCACGAGGCTGCCCTGCGCGCGCGCGATGACGAGGTCGCGCGGCTCAGGGGGCTCCTGTCAGACAACGACAGGAGGTGCGGCGAGGCTGAGAAGAGGGCGTTGGCGCTCAGGGAGGTGGTGATGAGGGACGACATGCTGGTGAAGCTGGAGGAGGAGAAGGCTGCCGTCCAGGGCAAGCTTAAGTGGAAGGATGAGCAGTTCAGGCACCTCGAGGAGGCACTCAAGAAGGTTCAAGATGACTTCAGGGCTGCCAAGAAGGAGTGGGGCTCAGATAGATCAACCTTGGTTGATCGGATTGGCACTCTTGAGGCTGATTTGGATTCCAAGACCAGGGTTGCGGAGGATTTCCGGTCGAGGCTTGATATGTGCAGCCAGGCATTGGCCCATGAGGAAGGCCGCAGGAAGCGGGTGGAAGCAGAGATGTCTGAGTTGCGCCACATGTATGGCAATGTGGTCTCTGAATATGAAGGGGCCAAATCAATGGTCGAGTCGTTAAGCTCCAACACGGATGGGGAGATAGCATCTTTGAGAAGCTCACTGGCTGAGAAGGCTACATTACTCAAGGAAATGGGATACAGGAAGACACATCTTGAACAAGAAAATGAGGATTTGCGGTCAAGGCTCAAGGAGTATCAGGAGGCACAGATTGGTGGTGCAGATGCTGTTGTGTCATTGAAAAGTCTGCGGGAGAAGTTCCGAGCCTTGGAGCAGGCACATAGAAGTTGCACTGAGAAGCTACGAGATAAGGAAGAGGAATGGAGAATGCAGATGGCAAAGCTTGTGAATGACTTGGATGGATGCTTATCACAGTTAGAATCCAAAGATATTCTTATTGGGCAACTGCAGAATGAGTTGCTGGGTAGTTATGGATCCCTTGAGCTACAAATAGTGGAGAACTGGGAAGCTTTGATAATTCTTACTGTTGTACAGGCAAAATTTCATGAGTCCCGCTCATTTGTTGATACTGCTCAACTGAATATGCAGCATCATTGTGAAGAAATTGAGAAGGAAATTGCTTCTGCCAAGAAACAGTTAGAAGAACAATCTTGCACTATTGTCCAGTCTCAAGCTGAACAGAAACAACATTCTGAGGTTATAGCAAAATTGTATGCAAGAATCAAGGAGTTAGAACATATGGAACAAGAACAAAAGAAGATGCAAAGGCAGCTTGATGTGTACAAAGAGATGCTGGACAACACATCAAGAGATGCTCACTGCCTAAAAGATGAAGCTTCAAAGAAGGAAAACACCCTACAGGAGAAATTGAGGGAGGCATTAAGTGCTCTTGGCGAAGCAAACTGTGCCCTTGCTGACAGGAAGAGTGAGCTGAGCCAGTTGGAAACCAAGCTCCATCATCAAAAGCAAACAATTGAGCATTTGGAAAAACTGAAAGTTGATATGGAAACTGAAGTCGAAAGCTATATGTATGACAACCGTATCCTGAAGAGAGATCTGGATGCTGCTCTTTTTGCCAAAGTGGAAGCTGAGGAGTTTCTTAGACAAGAAAAGATGAAGTTAATATGTGCTCTCGATGAGGCAAAGTATTCCCTTTCTGAGAGGAACAGTGAGCTGACCCAGTTCGAGACCAATTTTCATCAGCAAAAGCAAGCACTGGAGAATTTAGAGAAGGTGAAGGTTGATATAGAAACTGAACTCAAAACGTGTAAGGATGAAAATTTTGTACTGAAGAGAGATTTGGATGTTGCAATTATTGCCAAAATGGAGGCTGAGGAGTGTCATACAAAAGAAAAGGAGCTATGTGGTATAATTAACAAGAAAGGAATGATGATTGATAAACTTCAGCAACACATCACTGTGCTAGAAGCAGAAAACATGGACCAGAAACTTGATTTGGGAAGTCTTATCAAGATGGAGTATGAGAAGTCCATTCGCGAAGTGAAGAACAGGTACTCTGAAATTGTTGAGGTCTCTGACAAAAAAATTTTGGAGCTGGAAGAAAGGCTTAGATTCGTTGAGCAGAAATTTTCATGCAGGGAGCAGGAGCTCATGAAAATGTTTGATCAAGAGGAATCAGATTGGTATACACTAATTGCAGAGAAAGAAATTGCTATTTCTGATATTCAACAAACTGTTGAATCTGTTCAGCTTGACATCAAGCACCTTCTTGAGGCTGCAGCAGCAAAAGTGGCAGAAGTTCAGCAAGAGGTGAATCAACTTTATGGTTTTGCAGAAACTCTGAATTCACTTAACATCATCCAAGAGCATGATACTGTTTTCAAGGATATGCTCATTGCAGAGTGCGAAAGAGAACTTGACTCCTTGCAGGTAAATTTAGTGCAAGAGAAGCATCAGTCAAGAAATCTGAAGAATCTTATTGGACAGCTCAAAGCTCAAACTGCTTCAGAAATGTCAGAAAAGGCAAAGGAGCATCTAGAAGTTACAAATAAGCTGAAATCATTGGAGGAAAGAAATGAAACATTAGATCAGCATCTGCGAGAGCTAAAGTCTAGAACAACTAATATGTCTAATGTTGTACTGCAAGAGAGGAATCAGTTGGTCGATGAGCTGACTGGACTAACCAATACCATTGGGGAGGTAATTTATGGAGGTGAAAGTATGATGTCAAATTTGAGAAGGATCATGCAGAAAGTTAATGAGGAACCATGCAATGACAGGCTTACCTCAGAAAAAACTAATGGTAGAAGTTCTGCACCTTTGATCAGGAACAAATCAGGGCATGTCCTAGATAGAAGATCACCTCTGAAGGAACACAACTACTAGCCTTAGTATAGGTCAGATCGTGTACTGACATTGCTGTAACAGTTGTACTCTGTTTTCCAAGAATCCAATGACATGCCGCCCATAGGGCTGTGCCTTTTCTTTTCCTTACCCAGTGACATCTGTGTTATGTTATTTCGAAATAGCCATTTGGGCCCCTGAATTTCGCCAACAAATTATTTTATCAAAACGAATTTTTAGTCCTTAATATTCGTTTCCTCAATCTCGTCCATTCGCATGATTGCTGGACACGTGGAAGCCTTGCACATGGAAAATGTCTAACTGTCCCTCCCTAATTCCTTTACTCGGCGTGGGCCAGTCACGGTGTTTTCTGTCTGTCTCTTTTCCTTCCTCTCGGCCTCACTGTCTCTCTTTTTCTCCATGGCAGCTGCACGGGTGTAGGTTAGGGTTTTTGGGCTTGGGGCGCACCTTCTCTTGGTGGGCGACGCCCATCGACCTTGGGCAAGTGGACTCGGCTCATCTACATGGCGGGAAGAGGAGTGGAATTGCTTTGTGTTGAGATGAAGTGGCACTTCACTAATTTTGATTGGATTTGATTTCCTTGTAGAATGTTTGAATTTGACCATATAGTTGATCTTGGGCTGCAAAACAATGTCTATATTTGAGGTGGAAGTTCGATTTCATTTTAATGGGGACTTTGTTCTTGATGGGTTAAGGATGTTGTATTGCAATGGGGATTGTGGAGTGTCTCACATGAGAAGGATAAGATATCTATCCCGGAAGGACACATTGGATCACACAACTTTTCCTAGATCTGTTAGAATGCATTGGTTGCCATATGGTGCTGAATTGAATAGTGGAATGAGGTTACTTTAGATGACAAGTCATGTTTGGACATGATTAATGAGTTGGGAACTAAGAGCTATAGATATATACATTGACTAAACATGGGTGGGAATGAAGAATTAAAGCAGTGTTTCAGTGAGGATGTATTTGCCCTATTTCGAGATGAAAATATCATGCCATTGGATCATGTAGAACTATTGGAAAGAGGATCAAACTGTCCAAAATAGGGACAAATTTGTTCTTGGTAACATGCTTAGGCCAAGGTCCAACTCATGGTCGACTTGGTCAAATGTAGAAGAAGAAGAAGAAGATTCAGGTTGAGTGGTTGATGCTACTGTCACAACTAATGAAGATGATGAAGTTAGGGAGATAAGAGCCAACTATAAAGACTTTATGTTAGAAGTAAAGAAGAGAGGAGATATTCCAATGGACAACCCAATTGAGGTTGATGGCATACAAGGTGGAGATATTCCATTAGACAGTAATAATCAGGTTTTAGAAGGTGGAGATGGTGTTGAATACTTTGATTCAGATGGTGATGCATCATATGATGAGGACAGTGATGGTGCCTTTACAAGAAGGAAGTGCAGGTTCCCAATATTTGACAGTTCTGTTGATACTCCACAGTTTGCAGTTGACATGTGCTTTAGAGGAAAGGATTAATTGAAGGATGCTATAGAGAGGTATGCACTAAAGATGAAGATAAATATTAGATATGTGAAGAATGAGCAGAAAAGGATTAGGGCTGTTTGTAGGTGGAAAGGTTGTCCTTGGCTTCTATATACTTCCCATAACTCAAGATCTGATTGGTTTCAGATTGTAACTTATAATCTCAACCATGCTTGTTGTCCTCGAACAAAAAAAAATTATCTACAAGTAGGATATGTGAGAGGTATGAGAGTACTATCAAAGGCTAATCCATCTTGGAAGGCTAGAGCAATGAAGGAGACAGTATAAGAGGACATGGGAGTGGATGTGTCAATCACAATGATTAAGAGAGCAAAGGCACGTGTAATGAAGAAAATAATGGATACTCAGACTGGTGAGTACTCCAAGTTGTTTGACTATGCTCTGGAGTTGCAAACGTAGTAATCCCGAACTAGTGTGCATGTTGCCCTTGACCCAGAGGAAGAAGACCATGTGTTTTAGAGGTTTTACGTATGTTTTGATGCATGTAGAAGAGGATTCTTAGAAGGATGCAGGAGGATAATTGGGCTTGATGGTTGTTTCCTTAAGGGGCCATTGAAAGGTGAGTTGTTATCGCTATTGGCGGGGATGCAAATAATCAGATTTACCCAATTGCATGGCGCTGTGGAATGTGAGAATAAAGACTCATGGAATTGGTTTCTTGGGCATCTTCGTGGAATCAACATACCTATTGGAGCAGTGGATAACAGCCCAACGTGCGAAATTTACTCTATCTATGTCAATTTGGACGCGTTTTTTATCATTAAAACAAAATGTTTAAATCATTTGTGTCCATTTTGCTGGTGTGCGCGTATCTACATTGTTTCCATTTGTTGAGCTAGGATGTGCGCGCCACATCTATGTCAGCGGTAGGGGTGCAAGAGTACCAAAAGAGGTTTTGAAGATTGCAAAGGCACCTGCAATGAGCAACGTTTAAGCATTACAAGAGTAAGCTTGCGCCGGATGGCGGTTGAGAAAACAAATCTTATTCATTGGTCTCGACTTGTCGCGGATCCAATTGTGAATCGCAGAGAACAACATGGTGAATCATTCAATACTTGGATTATAGAATCAAGGTTCAATCCTATTATTACTATGTTGGAGGACATCGATCCGATGACTAGAAGAATCCAAGAAAATAGGAGTAATAGTGAGCGGTGCCAATGGCGATCGCGTCCTAACATTATCGTGGAAATTCAACAAGATTAGGCATAGGACACAGCTTTTGTCATGTCTTGTGGAATGGTGAGGTCGTGAGAGACAAAAAATAGGTTCATAGTAGACCTGAGAAGCAAGACATGCTCATGTAGGTACTGGCAAGTCTCTAGGATTCCATGCCAACATGCTTGTGCCGCCCTATATTCAAAATAGCACAAGAGCCTAACAATTACATACATGAGTGCTTCTCACTTAAGACATACAAGAAGACATACCAACATGTCTCGCAGCGGAACATGAGTGTCACCTTGGCTGTGTCTCCAAATCCCAAACCATTGCCTCCTAGAGTAAAAAAAGATGCCGTCGACCAAAGAAAAATAGGAGAAAAGACCCTTCAGAGCCAAAGAAATGGAACCAATTCACAAAAGTTGGCACTAAAATTAGATGTCGTCATTGTGGGAATCTATGGTCACAACTGAGGACATGCTCTGTGAAAATGGTGTTTACTTGAATTTACTATTTTCCTTTGCGCACTATATCATTCCTTACTCATTTTACTAACTTGGTCCTTACTCATCTTACAAACAAAGTGGAACGCCATATAATCCTCCCGCCCACCAATGCAAGTCACTCAAGCCCATTACAAATTGAACCTGCACAGTCGAAGCAAACTAAAGGAAAATCCATAACGGCATCATCAAGTAAGAGAAGACTATCCATGCTTGAGGGTTCATTATTTATACAGAGTTAGTAATAATTCTATGTCCATGCACAGACCTAAGTAAATTGTATATTTGCCTAAATTGGCTTTCTTCATTTCACTGTCGCCATAAGAGAAGACCATATCTTTTGAGAGAGTGCTCAAGCATCTGAAAGTCAAGTGCTCAAGCATCGTGAAGGCATCTGCTGGAGGGAGTGTTATTGTCATTGAAACCAATGTTGGGAGATTTGCAAAGGCAACAATCAATGTAAAAGGTGGGCGTGCCTCAGCAAAAAGTCCATTCGACTTCATTGGCCATGGATCAACATTCATCCCGTTTGCAGTGAATTCAAAGAACGAGATGATGTAGCTTGCCAATGTAGTTTCAAAGCAAAGAATGCTTTTGTATCACTTAGTCATAATGTCGTGAACACTTGCATTTGTTATGTCAAAACCATGAGCATGAGACATGTAGTTTCAAAGCATTAATGTTTTTAGTATCACTTAGTCATAATGTCGTGAACACTTGCATTTGTTATGTCAAAACCATGAGCATGAGACATGTTAAATTTGTTTTTGCATTCATTTCTCATTGCCTCAAACAAAGTGGTTACACAATGAGCCATATGCCACAAGCAATTACAATGCTAAAACAAATTAAGATTACAATGCACTCTCGTTGTTCTCTAATAGTATATTTCAGTTCACGAATTTCTTGTTTCGCTTTCTCATCGATCAAAGATATACATATCATCCCATTGTCCAAATTGAATGTTCAGTGCAGCCTCCCACATGATGTGCCTCATGGAAACTAGGTCCTGAATCACCCTTTTGCTCTACCTTCAAAGTGTTCATCGATCCAATACTTGAAATCACAAGGTTCTCAACTTGTGAGCACGCCAGAACCTTCTTCCTGTGTGCGACCGGACCAACAACAACACAAAATTGGGGAGAATCCATGCCGGCATGTAAGCCCCGTCCTCACCAAAGATCCCCTCTAATGTTGTTCAAGCAATGTTTCAAGCTACACCAAATCGACGATTTTTATCAAAATTCAAATCAACCCCTAGCCCAAACGCTTTAAAACTCAGACTACCTCCATCACTGGCTGCAAGACTTTCATGAGCGCCTGAAACTCGACGCCCGAGAAATGGCTACTCCCCTTATTGGCTACCTTCTCCCTCTCCCTCCTCGGATCCATGCTCCATGGGGATCTGAGCACAAACAAGCCACCTCCACAATGGAGCGAAATGGGGGAGCGATGGAGCTAGCAGATGGGGAGACGGGGAGATGAATCGAATGAAGCGAGCGATGGAGAGGAACTAGGGACCCGGTGGCGGTGGGTCTTCCTCTCCAAAAACTTTGTCCTCCCAAGCCAAAACCCTAACCTACTGCAATGCCATGGAGAAAAGAGAGAGACAGGCGAGGCCGAGAGGAAGGAAAAGAGATATAAAACGCCGTGGACCGTCCACGCCTGTAAAAAGGAATTAGGGAGGGACAGGTTAGACATTTTCCATGTGCAGCTGTCCACGTGTCCAGCAATCATGCAGAATGGACGAGATTGAGTTGTAAATCAGAAGATTAAGGACTAAAGTGGACGTTTTGATAGTTTAGGGGCCAATTTGAGCCTTGTGTGAAAGTTCAGGGGCCCAAATGGCTATTTCGCCTTATGTTATTTAAACAAGGTGGTTGTGTTACCCAACACTTATTTTATGGATTGAATTTGAATAACATAGTTTCCCAAGTGTTGAATGAAATGAAGCCTATCGTGTTTGCTGCCACTACATTGTTCTGGACAGTGCACGGTTGGATTCTATGATTGATAAGCTTCACTGGTCTGGTTACATGCTGTCATGCTGCTATCTGCCTTGTGTTCTTGTTTCCCATCTGAATCTCTGATTATGCAATTGTTTTATGGATATTTTAGTTTGTCATTAATGCTATAATAAATGGATACTTCCACTCTGGCTTGGACAAATTAATCTGTATTTACAGATTTCTTGGTACCTGAACGAAATAGGGAACCATTCTTTTTGGCTGTGGCTGTTGCTGTTGGTGCTGAGGCTGTTGTTGCATGTTCTTTGTTATAATAATGTTGAAATGGAACAATAACTAAAACAGTGTTCTTGTAAACAAAATAATTAAAGCAGTGTTTTGGTAAAAGCTAGCTAAAAGCTAAAGGAACTATTGGAAAGAGTATATGGCCATGGAACAACATTTCTTTCTTTATAAGCTTAGGCCAATATGTAAGTCCACAGTCTGACTTAAATCAAATGATATACTAAAATGGTTGGTGTTAGACTGTCTCTAACAAGGAGACTCATATGGCCACCGAAACCCAAAAAACAGAGACCCAAAATTAGTCTCTAACGGACTACCTATACGGGAGACCTATTTACAGAAATGATTCTTTTTTTGTGTCCTGTTGTTTGAGAAGTTGCCGAATGGGTATTAAACCATTTAACTGTAGCGCTATCCAAATGTTAAATGGGTCTTGTATTTTGGGTGTTGTTGGAGATAGTCTTAGTTGCATCAGTATCTTCAAACAAAAAACATCATGGGACAAATAAACCACAAATCGTCCAAAGTAAACTTTGGATGGATAAATAGAGGACTTTACATTACAGAAATTTTTACAGCTTCTACAGTCTACTCCTAGCAAATGATGATGACATTATTGTCACTGTAATCTAAACCCTAATAGCAAAGACTCGCTCTGTTGCCTTCGCCGCGGGCATCCAAGGAGGAGCAACTTTTTTGGACAAGTAGGGCAGTGCGCACACCTGCTGTGCTGCCGTCGGCGCGGGGGCGCACACGTTGCGGCGCTGGGAGGAACTGCAGCACTGCTGGTTGCAACGGTGGTGGAAAGACGGCTGCAAGTGGATGGCCCCTGCGAACTCCTGCGTGCTCTGGACGCGTCGCATCGCCTGTTTCGCCTGTTGCTGGTGTGCGCGCACGGCGAGAGCTTGCTCGCTCTGCGCGCGCCGCATCTCCAGCGGTAGGGGTGGAAGTCCGGCCGCCGATCTCCGCCTGCAGACAACGCCGCCGCCGGAGCCAGCGTGAGTGGTGGTCGTGACGAAAACACGGAACGTCGCGGACGGCCGCGTAGCCCGCAGGCGGTCGTACTCGTCGCGCATGTGCGCGAGCTCCTCGTCGCACGTGACCGACACGATCACGTCCTGGACGCCCTCGTCGGCGAGGCGGTGCCTGATCGCGCGCACCTCCGCGCCGCCGGCCATCTCCGACAGCCGCGCCGTCAGGTCGGGGAAGGTCGCCGCGCGCGGCACGACGAGGACGCGCGTCTCGCCGCCGACGTACCTCAGGGCCCCGTCGGGGCCGCGGGGCAGGAAGCGGCCGCCGTGGCTGCACATCAGCCTGATGCGCGCGTCGCTGGCGTCGCAGGTCGCCTGTGCCGCAGCCATGGGGTCGTCGGTCGGGTGGGACAGTGGAGTGGATCATGCGGCTTGTTGAATCATAAGTTTATAACCCCGGCCGTGGCGCCATTGACGCGTGAGCGAAGATTACGCGATCGAATTGGACTCGAAGACCTGATCAAGTCCGAATCGAGGTGGACGGTAGTTGCCGGTGCCGTTCGCGGGAGGAGATTCTTCAGCAGACTGAGTCGTATTGGGCTCGGAACACTTCTTCAGTTCACTGTCGGAATCAATTCCAACGATAGATCTCATCCTTTGAAACGCCAACACGTGGTTCGCTGACCAGGAAGAGAGACGCTTTTAGGCACATCAGCAGTAGATAAATTGTAGGGTTTCACTTTTGCAGTGGAAGATACTCCACGCGTTGGTTCAGTGATTTAAAAAATAGTGCAGAGATTAAAAAAATAAAATAAAATTAAGTGGAAACAATATGGATAGCTTATATTAAAAAGTTAGAAAGTTAATGGAATGACATGCCTATTAGTTTCATTCAGGTTTCATCAGCATTAATCCTGTTTTTTCTCAGGAATACGACAATCAGTTCAGAAACCAAAGATATTTACACAACCGCTTATCGAACCAATGAAACAGGTTGAATAGCTGCTAATTTTTAGCAGGGCTGATTCACCTGCTAATAGATGGATGACGAGTTGAAGGTGCATATAAACTATTAGCACGTATTAACAACTTCAAACTTGCTAATGGAGCTAATAGTTAGCAGTCCCTTTAACTAATAATTAGCAGGTTTGTTTGGATCCACTAATACTAATTTTAGCTACTAATTTTAGTGCTAATGGATCTAAACAAGCCCTCAGTGAGAAATGATGTGTACAGTTAGTGGGTGATTATATGGATGGAATGTTTTTTTTTAAAAAAAACTTTTGAAGCTAGTTATCTTGCCTTTTGAGATACATTTGTAGTGGGGATTAGCTTTGTGAGAGATATAGATAGGTGAAGCTTCAATTTGTATCGGATCGCGCCGATCCAATATGTACTACTCCTAATAGTAGATAAGTATTCTCTATGTTCTAAAATAGAGGTGGTTTTAGTTTTGTTTAACTCAAACTTCTCTAACTTTTATCAAATTTATAGAAAACCATAGTGACATCTATACCAAATAAATATATAGACATGTTAGTAGTATCTACCAAATAAATACATATATCCAAACATGTTTTATGGTAAACAAAATTATAAAGGTTGAATTTAGACAAAACTACAAGGACCTATATTTTAAACTAGAGAGGGTGCTTATATATTCGAAATGTAGAGATGTGCCTCCACTTGTACCACAATGCGCAAGTACAAATTCTTGGACTTCGGAAACTTTCTTCAAAAGAACCTGTCATTGAAAATGGGAGGATCAGCGAGTAATCCACAACCATAAGCAAATGTCCCCCACAAAGGTCCCTCGGAATCCTCGTGGAACCCTCTTTTGCTTTATCCATTCAAGGTCGGCAACATATGCAACTACTATGGTCAAGCCATTGTTATCGGATTCCTCTTCATCCCACAATTTCTCTAAATCCTCATCATCAAAGACATTGGTTCTGTTGCAGCACACATGTATGTTTGCCAGTCTAATATAAAAAAAAACAAAATGATTCATTTGTTTTTACTTTTCAAAGTACCCCTTGCACTCTCCGTGCCCCTTTGGTTCAAATTCACAACCCGTATTGATACAAATTAGAATAATTTGTGTCCAGCAACGGTACAAAACCTAATTAAAAACATACTAGGTTTCATTGCAATGTTCTGGTACGTTAAATAGTGTAACATAAAGTGTCAAAATGACGATTCCGCGAGAAAGCACGGCCGACTAGGCCGTTGAATTCGAGCTATTGAGTAGAAACGCTTTGAGCTCAGCCGCTAGGGATGACTTCGAGCTCAGCCGACGTTTTGAATGGTAGAAACGCTACTCAGCTCAGTTTCCGTGCCGTGAGCCCGTGAGGTCTCTGGTTGTCTGCTAATGCTAGTAATATTTGCTCAAAAAGTTTAGTACTAGTATAGGACTAGGAGTCCCTATTTATCTCTTTATTTTTTGTTGGAGAAGGGCAGAAGGCCTAAGCTATTGAGTATTGACTTTTGAGTTTCGCTCCACTGATCGCTGTAATCAGTTGACGCTGTTCACCACGTATGTGCGTGGTGACTTTTGGTGACCCTGAGAAAGCAAAGTCAAACAGTATACACCCCATTTCTGTTGTCACTTTTCATTCAGGTTTCGCTAGCATTCATCCTCTGGAGTCAACAGCTCAACGCAGGAGTACGACAATCGAGTTCACAGAGAAGAATATTTACACATTTTTTACGGTCGATTCTAAAACCCCCATCCTAGCGCGTTGGTTTTGGAATTGACAGTAATAGTCGGTAGTGATAATTAAGTTCATCACCACCAGTTACAAACTAATAATAGTACTAAATTAAAATCATCCATGGTCCTCACTATTGTGTTGGGGTATTTCTCTGTCTAGACATTTGAGGTGAAAAACCAGTTCAGTCGCCCTGGTATGGTGGGGGAGCTGTTTGTTGGTCCATGTAGATGTGAAGTGCCTTCCATGTATGGAGAGCTCAATGAATTTTAGAGTGTATATGGCTTCATTGAATAGGTACATCTCAGTTGCATCTCCTCCCTCGTTGTTACTGTCGCTCGCTATGAGACATTTAGTGAGCTCAGGCATTTGGATGTTCTTAAACCACTCTCCGACGCGGCCTGCGCTGGCGTCGTCAAGTCCGTCCTCTCCTCTGCGCGGTAATCACTAATCACCGACCAATTGATTTGGATTGCCTGCCCAGTGCCCACGGTTGCCGGTTAGCGTGGCTGAATATCTGTGTTGACTGTTGACTGTTGACTGTGACTCTGCGTTAGTGGGTTTGCGGGATCCCCAGTTGCACGCGCAGTGCTCGATTATTTGCCTGACGAGGGGAAACGAAAGCTGGGAGGTTAACGTGGTGGCATTTGTTTTTCTCCTTTTTTTTTTGGTGAATACTAGGTAGTTTTTCCTTCTTCTTAAAATAGTGCCACTAGCGTTGATCCGTCATATAAGCACTCAGTCAAATCTTTATGAGACGAAACCTGCGGACAATTCTCGGGCTGAGGATCGGCCACGTCAGCGGGACATCATCGGCCGCTATATCTCGATCAGACGGCGCGAGCACTGTTCACATACTGTTTCACGTCCCTGGCGGCGGCACGCACCAGCCCCTGCATGGGTGGCCTCGGCGACGGGGCGGCCCCAGCGCGGGAGGCCCCCGGCACAGGCGAGCCTCTGGCCCTTACCGAGCCTCAGCACCGCCATCCATCGTTGCCGGCACAGCCGCGGCCTCCGAGCCACCTGTGCGCGTGGCCGGCCACCACCAGGTCACCTCTGGCCATCCAGTGTGCACCCACGGGTGCGGGACGACGTGCTGGTGCGCGAGCACCGCCGCTCACCGCCGGCCATCACCTCCACCGACTGGAATCGAAGCTCCACCGCGTGACCTGTGCCCTGCTCTCAGGCTGGCACTTTTTAACCGTAAACTGAAAACCGAACCGAATCAAATGTCATTTTTTTTTTTTCGGTTTCGGCTTCGGTTTTTGAGGAGGTAGAACATCCGAACAACCGCAGAACCAAACCAGGTTACGAAATACGGACGTATACAGGCAGCCCACGTCCCCGTTCCCACATGGCCCAAACCAATACAGCCCAAATGGCCTGCTGGCCACTCGGCTTCCCATCCCCACCCCGTCCCTTCACTCCTGATTTTCCCCAATCCCTAGCCCTAGCTACAGGGCGCGGCGACGGCGCGAGAAGCAGCGCACGGCGGTGCGAGGACGCGGCGGTGGCGGCGATGGCGCGAGGAGCCGTGCGCGGCAGCAGTGACGCGTGGCTGCAGCGCGAGGCGGCGGCACAAGCAAGCCGCGCCAGCGGCTGTAGCGCGCGGCTGCGGTGCGCGAGCAGCGGCGGCGGCGCAAGCAGGCCGTGCCGGCAGCGCGCACGCAGGGTCACCGAGGCTGCGCAGAGCAGCGGTCACGGGCTCGCGGCGGCCTTCGCGAGCAGGAAGAGCGCAGGGACGGGGCCGTCGCCAGCAATTTCGGTCGGTTCGGTTTAACCCCGAAGTTGTCGGTTTTCATTTTTCAACCAGACCGAATTTCTGGGATACCGAATTAACCGAACCGAAATTGCGGTTTAAATCAAATGCCCAGTCTGCTGCTCGCCTGAGGAAGAAAAGTGGTGAAAAATGATTAGGGAAGTATTCTAGGGTTCTAGATGCAAAGCTATAGATTCATATAAATAGTGCTACTCAGATCCGGAAAAGCCCAGGGGCCTAGCTGACAAGTGTTTTCCCTTTTCTGTTAATGTTTTTATGAATAAATTGGCTGAAACTTCTAAAATGCATAGTATTTATAGAAAAATCCAAAAATAAAACAAACTCAGTTTTGTTGACCTCCACGTAAGTATATCTATGCAGTTTTGTTCACCAAACTTAGCTTGCCCCGTTCGGCTTGCTAAAACTTGGCTGAAATTGGCTGAAAAATACTGTTCTGACTGAAATGTTGTGAGAGAAAAACACTGTTCTGGCTAAAAAAGAAGCCGAACAAACCGAATTTAAGGTAAGCCGAACGGGGATATGATAAGTTTTAGTAGAAATTTTTTGTTGTAGATGCTTGGTTATGCTTTTTAGTGTGAAATTCAAACACTGGTTACATACTGATCAAATATATTTCCATTATGTTCATGTATTGTTTAAGTCTCGCACCCATAGAAACTTATGATAACACAAAGAATACAAAATATATCTGATAATTTATTTTTACAGAGACTATAATTAACCGAAAAAATGATGAAACTGATACAATAATATTAATAACTAATCAATTTGATTCAACGGTCACGATAAATACTTTCCATTTCCTAGAAAAAATCATAACCTCTATGCTATAATCTGTTATAATCTCTATCTTGATTTAATATCTCAATACAAAACATGATAAAATTTTACTTTATCTT